CCCAGCGGCCTCACCGACAAGGAAGAGGCCATTTAGGAGCAGGTCGCTGCTATCACCCTCAGCCAGAGCTTGGGAAAGCAACGGGGCGGGGGGCGAGCACAGCACAGAGCCATCCCCAGCTCTCCGAGATGTAGCATTAACCCGCTTTCAGCTTCAGGTGGTCTCTCGGAGCATGCAGAGCCGTTTGTTTTCAATATGCACGCGTGTACGTTCTGTGCGGGTATACATATAAAAAAGCATGCTGGAAGAAGGGTCGGCCTCCCAGCTTGCAGCTGCAGACCGGTTAAAGAAAACTAGACAAGGCGATATTGTCCAGGCGGTTTTAATAGAGCACAGATATTCCCCCCCCCCCCCTCCAAATGATCAAGTATTTATATACAATGTATCAATAGTGGATTAAAAAAAAAAAATACAGAGTTGAAAATCTGATTTACACATATCGGTTGTTTAACCAAACAGCTGAAAACGGTGAAGGAGCTAGAGGCGTTCCTGTAGTCCCCTCTGTTTTAAACACTTCCAAAACAAAAGTACCACAGGCTGCTGAAATTGATTCAGATGACCAGATTTACAGATTTTATTCAGATTTAGGCAAGGCACTCTTTAAGAAATACTTCTCTGTATGTACAACATAAGAAACCGTGGGGCAAAGCAAAGCGTCTGTCACTGTGCCGGGAGCGGCTGCGCCATGTGCATGGCGGGGGCCTGCATCGGCCACCCTTCCTGGTGGTTTTGCAGCAGCCAGTACAGCTGCTTCAGGTGAGCCACGATGTTGTCCTTGATGTCAGGCGTAGAGATCTGGAGCCGCACGCTGCCGCTGTCAAAGGAGCGCGTGAAGTCACCGGAAAACATTTCGTAGATCATCCGGGCCACAACTGGAATGACCTGTTTAAGAAGAAGTCAGTTGTTTTAGCCTAACGGTCACACAGTACGGTCCTGTTATTTTGCAGGAATCCCCTGCCCTGGACGCAGGGGATGGTTTCCACAATAACCTAAAGCACACTCACAGACCAATGCTATTCGGCACACGTAGCATTTGTATTTGCCGCGACACAACCCACCAGCCCTGTTGGGGCTTCCCGGTGTCAGCCACCACGACAGAGAAGAACAGGTATCTGGTATCCACGGGCATTGATCCAGAGCCAATGCACTGGCCCCAGCAAGGTTGGCACGTGTCACTTCAGAGCCTCAGCTCCTACCTGAACCACAATCAGCTTCCTCTCCCTGGGTTTTCCATCAGGCCATTCTTCTCCAAAACAGAAGTAGATCTCATATGGTGGCTGTTTCTCAATTTGTCCTTTCTGATGGGCAATCAGCTCTAGGAAGAAAAGCAGAATGCTGCAGGGTTGTCCTCTTTCGGTTAGAAACACTCACTACATCCCACCTCATTATACTGTCCCAGGTCTTACCTACACACTGTCCTTCGCCAGAGCCACCTCTTACACATACACAATTACAGCTTATTTCTTGCACCCAGAAGAGCTTTCCTTAAAAGCAAGGCCCTCCAATGTTTTTCAGAGCATTAAATGAGTGCACATTCACTTTCTTCTGACACTCACCTGCTCCATGGTCCACTGAAGTCAGGGAAGCGGTGGCCCTACCCACGCTCCACGCACGAGCAAACTAATTGGTGCCTCCAGGCTGAGCCCCAGTGCAGACCACCCTTTCCAACAGTGCCACCAAGTGCCCGGACCAGTATCCAAAGCTATTTTCCAGAAGCAGAAGCTACCTACCGCTTAGGAACGTTTCCAGACAGAAGAGTTTGACTTTCTTTTGCCTCTCGATCAAATTTGGTGTGGTGGAGGAAGGCGCACAGGGACCAGACCAGTACACCTTGCACTGGCAGAGCCGGACAGCGTAGATGGCATGGCCACTGACCTCCAGGATCAGTCCCCTGTCCATAACATCCAGCAGCCGACTTGTGAAGATCTTCTGCCTTTCATTGGTGATTTGCTCTGTTCCTGGAAACTTTACTTGCTCCAAACTAATGGGCCCGAAAAGCTCTTCCTGGTCTGGCATAGGACCCAGCTCTCCATAGAAAAGTCTGCATCCCTGCGGGTTGCTTACAGTCGTCGTTGGTCCAGTCTCCTTTCCTCGATATTCAAACTTGATTTCTAGGTCTGTCACTGAGAGAGAAACTGTCAGTATGGCTTTTCCTGGACCTTCGTATGTACTGCATCAGCAGTAGAGATGCACCACGCAATCCACGCTACAGTCACAGGGATGTTTAAACTATACCCAGTTCTCCATGCTAACAAGCAAACAGCCACAGGAAAAAAGTTAACTTTTTTTTTTTTTTAAAGTGCAATGACAGAAGCACCACAAATCCATATACATACTTGGCAGAGAGCTGATCCAGAGCTCAGGGCTGCTGAAGAAGTCATGCTGCAGCGCAGTTGGGGGCATTTCCATATCTAGAGGTTCATTCTTAGGCCACACAGCTTCGGGGCTGCAGTTTTCTGCACTGGCTGGAGCCATTGGAGAATCTACAAAAAGGAAACAGTTCTTCAATAAACCAAGATTTCATTTCAAGCATGCACCAATTTACAAGCAAATACCTTCACTAATACATTAGTCTATGCCACCAACCATTGATATTAAGAAATGGAAATGTCTCTTGTATAGGAACGTGCTGAGATTGATTCAATTCTTCCTCCTCTTCATCATCAAGATCATTATCCTTTTCATCCCACGGAGCTGAGCCAGTGGAACCTGCAAACAAGCACGTTCTTGTGGGCAGTCGATCAGTGTGAAAGACTGCAATGCATTTCTTGAAAAAATAATGTAATCGTCACATTGGCTTTGCACAATATTGGAAACGTATTTGTGTATTTGACGAATACAAGTAAAAGGAAAAATCTGATCTGTACAACATACTATTTTCAGTTTAATATATAACTCTAGAAAGCTAAGGATACAGAGAAACTATTGCCAACGTTGGACTGTTTAGCAGAAAACATGCAACTGTGTACAGCTTTATTAATTTTAGTACAGGTACACTATGGTTCAAAGTCCTCTTAGTTTAAGTACAACTGGGCTCACGCGTGGCAGCTGCTTCCTGCTGCGCACAAAGGCAGCCTGAGAGTTAATGCCGCGGAGGGAAAGGAACTCGCATTGGAAAACGCCTGCTCAGTAACCAGCCCTGTGTCAGCAAGGCCCTCACCTGGATTAATGATTGATCCCTGGGACTGTGGGATATCGCACACTTCATAAATTTTAATAGGATTCATGGGCACCTCCTTGGTGCCATCATACATCAAATTAAATTCCCGGCTTTTGTTAAGAGCACATCGTAGCTGGGCTTTCCACTTTGCAGGGTCTGGCTCATCGACTCCTTCCTGGTACTTTCCCGTTTCCACAGCCCATGCCTGGGGACAAAGTACACTGTGCTCAGTTGAGCCCTCTCAACAGAGCAGCTTTTATCAGAAATCAAACTTCCAAACAAATTCACTGTAAAATCCTTCTCTTGCGGAAATCTTAACTACAGCTCTTCTGATAACAACAACGGAAATTCCTGCCTTAATAGCTTTTCCCATTGAAAGAAGGGGAAGAAAAGAAAATGTAAATCCAAATTTCCAAAAACCATTAGCAATTCTGAACACACACCTTCATACAAGTTAAGAAAGTATAAATTGTGCACAGGATTGTGCACTGAGTTTTTCTAAGTGTCTCAGGTTCAATACCAAAAGTCATTTTTGACAGCGAGCCATACCCTGCGTAGGAGGAATGGACTCCGTTAAAATGGAGTGGAAGAGCAGCCACAGACGTGCAGCTGGCCCTCTCCTTCTCTCACCCCAAAATCAGACTATCAGTCCAAGATCCTTCCAAGGCAGAGGAAGTCAGAAATTCCTCAAAGGAGTGTAGGAGTTATAATGAATCCTTTGGGATAAGAACATTGAGGACAGCAGTGATGAGTATTGGAAGTTTGTGGTGGACCTGTTAAGATTTATGTAACAGTATTTAATGGTTTGCTGCCAAGAACAAGCCAGCTACCACATCCTAAACTGAGCAGATGAAGCAAACAGCAGCAATCTTCCAGAGCCCGTGCAATCAGACATCGTCTGGCCTTTGGTGGTCGGAAAGGGTTAAAGAACTCAACACCGTTTCAGGCAGTGCCAAGCCTGGCATCCAGGTGCACAAAGTGGCTTTTCTGAGGTCAAAGACATAGGACAAAATGTGCCTGGAAACAGCTACTGAGGTGCCTATCCAGCTCCTGGGCCAACAATTCAACCCTTTGTCCCTGTTTAAGAGCCGTGGTATATCCGAGCTCTCCACTCCCTCACCTTGAAGATGGTGTTCTCCTCCTCGTGCTGCGGGCTGTGCCGAGTTGCGTGCTTCCAGGGGATCTGAAACCGCTTCGCTTCTCGGTTTAGCCAGATAAGGCCGGGATACATACCGCTATCTACCTGGGCTACCAGCCACGGCTTCAAGCGAACTCTTCGCGGGTGTAACGCCATTGTCTACAAAAGACAGGGATAATAGTAGACCGACTGCTAAAGGTTAGTTGAGAATCATACGCTTTAAAAAAAAAAAAAAATTAATGCAAAAGGGCCCTATGCCATGTTACTGCTATTGTTTGTTATGTTACTGCACATTGAAACCACTAATTCAGATTAAGCTAGATGACTCTTCTGCCAGGACGAGTTACAAACGTATCACTAAGCGGGGACCATAATTGTTACAAGAACAACTCACTATTAAATATCCCAGTAAGCAGAGACAGTGCGTTATTTGTGTTAACTGAGCGGACGGAGGGCGAGCCCCAATCAAACCTGAGCTGTAAACGCTGCGCAGGAGATAAAGCCACAAACAAGCCACAGCAAGAACAGGCAGTAGAATTTCAAAAGCCTCCACGTGTGCCTTAGCGAAGGGGCCTATCTGATCTAGTTCTTCTTCAGTCGTGTCAGACTTGCATCCAGGAGGAGAAAAACTAACGTGCTGAACCAGAGGCTTTTGCCCCAGTTGAGGTAAAGGTGGAAGCATCAGGCTGAAGCAGAGGGGACCGTTTTAGCAGAGACAGACGTTCCTCTGAAAGTCATTTCATGACTTCTTTGTAGAATCATAGAATAGTTTGGGTTGGAAGGGACCTCTAAAGGTCATCTAGTCCAACATCATGAATGCTCTGAATGCAGTATAATCGCTTGCAAACACCACTGACCTACAATAACCAGGATGTTTATACAGAAGGACATGAACTGCAAGTCCACCTGCACTTGTGCTAAAAATCAAGTGACAATGTTTAGTTTTTTTTAAAAAACAATGCTGCAGTTAACTGATCAAATCTGTTGTTGTTTAAGTAGCCTGTGTTGCTACTACCTTTGCAACCAACCAACAATATTTTTCTTGTGCAGAACAGATACAAAGCCAAACAAACAAAACTAATGACTGTCCCTCTGCAGGAAGAGACAGCATTTGGTATCTTTAGATTTTGGGAGGGGACTTTTATGCTACACGTGTGCTTAGAAGGTCTATCTCCCATATTCATTTGTAAATCTTGAAACAGACATGAGAAATTACAAACATTCCCATTAATAAAGCAGTTATGGGATAAGTAAAACCTTTGCCATAAGCTCTGAATACTGCTGCAGGAGCTGCAAAATGTGTCTAGTAGCAGAGATAGAGGAGATTAAAAAATCCTATCCAAGAAGTAGTCTAGGAACAGGTTTTATTTGTCCAAATACCTGCAAATCCCTTTCAGATGCAAGTGCTCACACAAAATTAATCTGAACACAACTTATTTTATCTGTTAAGCAAAGAAAATGTTCAGATTCAATTGAAAATCATCTTTAAATAATAGTTTGAAAATGTGCTTCATCTGGGGACCTTAGCAGACTGCTTCCCAGGAGCTGCAAAGGATCAGAAAGCAATCGTCAAAATTATTTTTGTGCTTCTGAAACTCTGCTGTATTAGTTATCCATGATGAAAATCCTATCAGAATTAAGCTTTCAGTAGTGTGTTTGCAAAGACACAAAGTCCAGGTTAATCCTGGACTTAGAATTGAGACCAAAACCAGGTATCGATTTCCCTTGCAAAGGACAAAAAAGTCATTTCTCACTGTAACAAAGAAACCCTAACTAAAGCTTGTTTCCACAGTCTCTTCTACAATTAACTCTACAAGCAGTCCCCTCTGCTTCTAATAACATACACTGTGTACACACGTATTTGCAAGACCAAGAGCAAATTCAAACCTACGCACCAGGGAGAGAAACTCATGCCTCTCTCAAACAAAATACATTCGGTCACATGGAGGGTGCTGGCGCTGCCGTATTAGGTTTGAATTGTCCCTCGGATCACAGACAGCGTCTGTCAATACGCGACATTACAATGCTTTATGACCTTTTATCACCAATGACTTGTTGACACAATAACCGAGAGCAAATCAACTTGAATCCCATTGCTCGGCTCAGACAGTGAGTCAGCCTCTTACAACCTTCAACTTCGATCCAGAGGTGTCCACTAACGCCAGAGGCTGCTCCCGCTCCGAGAGCTGCAAGGGTGAGCTTGGGGAACGTCTTCACACGATTCATTGGATTTGCCAAGGGAGGCCTGGCCCTCACTCAAGACTCCTCAGTGCACATACCCAGGAATCCTCCAGTTTGCTTTATTCCCACTCAAACTGGCTGGTGCAGTAATTAGCACATCCCTGTGCTGCTAATGCATCTCTGGTCAGTCATGTAATTATTCCCTGTACCCCAATTATTATTAACTAAGTAGCACATCTTTCCTTGGAGGGGAGACATTCACCCCAGCAAGAACAACTCAAGCAAACTCAGGAACGAGTAGGCATCCTGCAGCCACTTCCCTGACGGCCGCAGACGAGTGACCAAGGTCAGGGACAGCCCCGGTTAACTGTGGTGACTCTCAGGGCTCCGGCACGGTGCCAGCCGGCGTAACAACACACAGCGCACCAGGAAAACCCGACCTGAAGCCTGTCTCAGCCTTGCTGCACAGATGCTTTCACTCTCCTCCTGCACACCCAAGCGTACTCAGTGCTCCCGCTCCACCCTGTTCACAAAGCCTCTAAATAAGGAAGGGGTCTTCTCTGGGTTCATCGCTGCGATGCCACAGACCTCATTCCTTGCTCGTTACCTTTGTTTGATTACATTATCCTGCATTTAGTGGATTTGTATTGATTTTTTCAAAGGCAAGTGGCTCAACCCTTAACATGAGCGTTCCCACAGAGGAACAGGCTGAATTTCCACCCGAGTGTCCGACTTAATCACAAATCCCGGTGATTAAGTCCGACACTTAATCACCTCCCTACACCGGGAACCTATAGCTCCCGCGTTTCAGAGATCTGCACATCACTTCTCTCGCCGCCACCCGTGCTCCCCTGCCCCACGCAGGGCGAGCCACACACCTTGAGCACAATTAACTCTTACAATTCACGGTCCCTGCGCCCCGATCCGGGGACCCTCTGCCATGCCCAGACAGCCCATGAAGCTGGAAGGGGCATGAGCTGTTACAGATAATTTGGGTTCTTGGGGTGGCAACAGCTGTGGTCCAAAAACAGCTGTCGGTGAACGGAATGGGGGGGAAGGGGGGGGGGGGGTAAACTTTTCTGCTGC